AAAAATAAGTCTGATGAAATTCATATTTTTCCACTTACGATTAAAAATGTTTTTCACATTTTCGAAAGATCAAGATCATCACCGAAATATTTACTGTGGTAAATCCTTGAACTGGATAAGCGAGCAAAAATGACCAAGAGATTATATCTATTCGTAAATTACCAGGAAGACTTCAAGTATTTTTTGAATAAAACCAAGAAAACCTTTGTATCTAGACAAAAATAATGCATGAAAAATAGTGCAATTTTCTCATGTATAATTTTTTTTCTAAATAACAATCACTGTTGCATGCGAATGAAATTAAATACTAATTACACGCCAAAATCGCGATTATTTCGTTTGTAGAAAATCATAAACTTGTCACCCATTATTATTTAATGGGACAATTAAGACGATGTGCGTTTTGCAATGAATATAGCGATTATTTAAATAACTTCAATGCAAATTGCCGCTTTACAGTTGCAAAGCAAATCAAGACATAAACAAATCATTAAACAAACTTTTGACCTTGTATGTATGTATTATTTCATAATGTGAATCATCCGAAGTGCGAATGAAACGTTCGATTGATTTTGTAACAATTAGAACAAAATAACACAATTAACCAGAAACATTCATACATTTATTAACGGAATTTTGCAAGCTGTACCGAGCGAGTTCTGAAGATTAATTTGACTTGCTAATAACAATTTGATGCACTGATTTTTTCTGTATTGGTAGTTTTGCAAGGAGATCAACATTTATAGGCATAAAATTATTTAAATTATGGCATCAATTACTTATATAAATCATATTAACTTGTATGATACATAAAGGAAGCAGCATGGGCGTGTTGTATGGGAATAATTACAATATCGATAAAAAAATTTCAATGACTAAGAAGATTTTATTTATACTCTAGGATATTCGTCTGGACTAGGTGGACATGGAGGCTACAGAACGAACTATTTGGGAAGCCCTTATGGATACAGAGGATATGGTTACAACAGCTATAGAAAATAGGGATAAACTTGTGCTTTAAAACAAATACTTTGTTGTTTAAAATTAATTGGAATCGCCGATTATATAGAGTGAAGAAGCTTGTTAATGATTAAGTATTAGACTAACTACTGTTGTTTTTATGTTGAGTACAATTATTTACATGTACAGGGTATGTGTGATTAAAAGCTCTGTTTAATAATGTAAAGTGTTTCTGTTATTTCCTAGTTCATTAATTACAGCAAACTAAATGGAAATTTTCCTTCTGTGTTTTGTGGTAAAACACACGTTGTTGTTCGATGTTTTCGATGTCCTTCTTATGTGTCATTTAGGACATTGGACTGCAATTGCCTTTTCCTATAGAACGTATCTTATGGCGTTGGCTGTTTTATATCTATCCATTGTTYTGRCGGTTTTTCTGRAGGCCCTTGGAGCCACTTTAAACATCAGACCTTTAGAAGGTAGATTTTAAGTATTTCAGCTCTTCTGCTCTGGTCCTAATCTTATTATTTTATTTAAAGTCCTGGGAGCAACTTGAGGTTGCAGACGTTCTGTAAACTTGCGCTCCTACTTGTGTAGGTATATATTTAAAAGTGGATAGACGGTTAAATGAAACAGTTTAGATCGAGTTCGTTCTTTAGAAAAGCATGGATTTCCATATAGAAACGCGTGGAATGTGAAGAGAAAATAATCGGTGTCTTTTAGTTAGCTAATTGAAAGTTCGCACAACTGTGTGAATATTATTGTATGYAAATATAATTATGCGCTTCTCTTTCGTAAATTATTTTMTTCTCTTTTACGATTTCTCGCATTTTGGTATTATATATCTTAAAATWGTTTTTTTTTTCTTTTTTTAGCGCTGCTTCTAAATTTAATAATGTTAYCACATCTTCCAGTTGTGTTATTCGAAKGTCTGTCTGACAATAGCTTTATTWAATTTTTTCTTCAAWCCCTTTTTTCAGTAACATGGATTCTTGTTTTCCCGAAAGTTTCTGTTGAAAAAAGCGTTRATTTTACGATTATTAGAGCGTCTGCACTTTGGCGATTTAATTAACTATCTCCTAGAAGAAAGATGTTCTGATAKYATTTAGATACAAAATTAGAGGGTTTTAGATCAATCACTCTKGYATTTTCCSTAWTTMTGTYGMWKAYTKTTKTGRGCYTYWMTCTAMKYTTSCATCACYTTTCCKWTTTCTTGTTTGCTGCGAAMWWTYGTTGYTWRWGWTACACTYRTKTCTATTCTTTCGCCTTGGTCGMTATCAACAAACAAAAATTTCACCATAAATTAAWGCCGCCCTTTTCTAAGATAATATACATTAACAGACGCAYTTATRCAAGCCTTGGAAAAGTGCCATCAGGCAACTATCTGCAAAATAGGAAGAAGCTTCGTTTTATATGCTAAAACCAGCAATAAAATTTAATTCAAGTGAAAGTTTTCCAAAAATTATTGCACATTTGCAAATGACTCAACATGAACCAATCTAGTTTATATCCATCCCACACAGTTTGTACTCAAATCTAGAAACTAATATAGTAAAATGCGACCCACATTACAATAAAGAGGCTTATTGCGTAATGATTTGGCCAAATTGATTGTTTTTAAATATACTGATCTCTAAATGTGCAAATTATGAAATATCATGGCTCTTTGGAAATTATTAGTTTGACCCACCGCATTTTTTGAGTGGGTTTTGGCATCATTTGATCGGTCACTTGACCCACATTTTTCAACCTATTATTCAATTTTCTTTGCAAATTAGATATATTCAATTAGATTTGGAAAAAGACAGAGTCGTTTAATGCGTGTTTGCTCAAATTTTTTACGAGTTTTAAATTTGCGAATAGAAATAATTAAACCATTTGCTCATTTTTGGAACATTTATTCAATACTTCCAGGTTTAAATTGGTAAACAACTTGGATATTTCTGGGGAGTGTTATTGCTGCAACTGTATGGCATTCAAATGTATGCAAAATAAAATTGTGGCAATCTGACATAATTTTTATGTAATACCATTTGGCAAGATTTCTCCTTTCTTCGCTTCTTGGGATCCCACGTTGGGTTTGGTGAATACCAGATTTTAGTTATGCATATATTCTTCTACTGGTGCAGAACAGTGCCTTGATATGGATAATTAGATTCCAAAACCAGTGTTTTGTGCTAAGTGAGAACAATAGGATTTGCCTAAATTAATCGGGAATTCCCAGAAGGCACGCTTATAACAAATGTGAGTGACTTTAATAAATATTCTGCCTCGCAGTGAAACGAGACAATGAAAACCTAAATCAGTAAAATTTGAAACAATTAAATAAAAACTGTGGCAATTCTTCATAATCAAGCTAAAAAAATATTTAAAACAAAAGCATCTTAGACCCTCATGATAGCGCGGTTGACACACTCTTAATTTAAACGAGCACTGAGGCGCATTTCCGCATCATAATCAACATAAGAAAATTGATTTAGCCGTGGTACCTCATGAAGAAAAAACATAAAAATTCATTGCCATGTTCCACTGTCTTGTGGTTTTTAATTATCAAATTATGCAAAATGTGCATGCCGAAATGCAACAATTACCATAGGTGATATCGGCTGTAAAAATGGCATTGTTTTTGTTTGCCATAATGCAAGGTTTATTCGAACCGCATATTATGTTTTAATTACATTACATCTACCTGATTGTATGGTCGTACACATTGTAGACACACAAATGGAGTGATTGTTTAAATTAGGAAATTAATTAGCACGCAAAAGTGCCTAAGTGCTAATATGGAGTTGATCATGAAGAAAAAGGGGGCCTTTATTTCCAGTAGCATTTAACAGTATTAGCAATGGAAATATCAGAGGGGACTTATTGTTAGTTATTTTTATGGGAGGCCACTGAATATAGACAGAAATTTTTATTAAAAGTTTCACTAATTAGTCAAAAAAACAACCAATCATTATAACTCAAAGAGCCTCTATCATGCCCATTAGGTATAGGAACGTAATTGAGGAAATACTGGCAGTATTCATACGAAATAAGGAATTTCAAGCACACAGATTTAGGCGCAAGATTAGCCCAAAATCTTATGTTTTAGGCTCTATTTTTGCTCATTTTTTAAGAAAAGGTTGAGCTGGAGCGCTAATTTTCATACTACTGAATAGAGCACTAAATGGTGCTTCGATGTAGAGAAGGGTCGCGTAGCCGTTTTCGACCTTGTGAGTTTTTCAAAAAAGTCAAGAAAGTGCTAATTTTGCTCTTTCCTTTAAACTGCAAAATCGACTCAAAAATTACGCCGCCTTTTCCGTCATTTCTCAGGAATCATTTGAGCTTCAGAGGCCGTTTTCCTATCATTTGATAAGGACTTAAAAATTCGTTGCAGTTACCTATATGAAGAATTTCTAGTCAATTTTTGGAACCATTTCGAATTTCATTTTGGAAGAAAAACATTTCGATCTATGCATGTTTTTGTGAATTCAGGATCAATGGATGTATTTTCCTCATATAAATAATATTTTCAGATGGATTATTGGAGGATTTTGATGCTCCTTCATTTGATAGCAGCCTCACTTGCATACAGAGAAGATAGTCAGTATAATGATTTGGCTGAAGAAGGTCGCCATGGAGGTAGAAGAAGACGACCTGGAAGCCAAAGTGCGTATAAATGATTAGTTAACAACAAACAGTAAACAGTTTAGAGAAAATGAATTACCTTCAATTCACTGTTTAGCGTTTGTAACAAATTTGTTTACGAGGAAAAATGCCTGAAAAATCTTTTAACTTTTATAGCATAATTTATTGCTTAAAGGTCAATAAAACTTCGATTCAAAAGCGATGTTCCTAAATATATTTCAGTTTTAAATAAGTCACAGTTTATAAAAATTTAATTGCAGATGGAAGTCCTTGTAACTTTGCGGGAAGCAGTGGGAAACCGAAGAGCCAACCCCAGGGGCGGACATTCTTCGATCTTCAGTTCCTAAATCTGGAACATAATTATAATTACAACATTAATTGCGGGAGCGGTGGGGGTAGTTATCCAGCCTATCCTCAACCTGCACCTGTTTATGAAATTCTTCCCGGTGAAGATGGTGGCCACAAGCCTGGAGGCCATAAACCTTCAGGTAGGAAGAAGCAAAATAATTATACTTTATTCAACAGCAATAGTTAAGTGTTGGTTGTCTTTGGAATTTCAGGAGGAGGAGGAGGAGGAGGAGGTGGTGGAGGAAATAAACCATTCAACAGACCAGGAAAACCAGGTGTGTTTTACACTGTTTCGAATTTTAAGGGGGTAGCATCTAGTTCTTCCATCTTCAGGATATTCGCAATATTCGTATTGTGCATTTCGACTTTTTTTTAGCTAAAAATGGTTTATTTGATATGAAAGGCTTTGGTAAAGCGTTCTTGAGATACTTTTAAAATTAAGGCGTCGTAAAAATAGAAATTGAACCTGTGTAACATGTAGTTAGTGTTTTGAAAGCTTTGGTTTGCTTCGGTTTATTTGCGTTCGTTTGTAATAATTTGAGTTAGTTTGATTTTATTTCGGTTTGTTTGAGTGAATATTAATTTTTAATTAGATTCTGTTCCTGATATCTCAATACGGCTG